GAGGAGCCTTCCAGCTGCCTCACACTCGAGACTGGAGCACCTGCTGTCGTCGCTCCCTGTTCTTCTTTCCACATTATGCCAAATGTCGTTCTCCTTCCCTCACTTCACCCACATCTCCATTTTCTCACCGGGGGACTCCGACCACCCTCCACCCCCACCAGTCATTGCCCTGTAGTCCCCCATCGCCTGCACACTCGGTGTTCTCTTACGTGTGATCTGTGTCCCCATTGGAAGCAGCCTTGTTTAGTTCACCATGGGTCCCAGAGCCTAGAACAGGGTCTGGCACCCGGTCAAGGTCTCAGTAGATACTTGTTGAAGGATAGATAGAGCGCCGTTCCACAGGGGGCAGCGGAGACTTGGGCACGTTGGGGATGGGAAGCCAGGGCTGTTTGGAGCCCAGAGTTCTTGCCCCAAGTCCCTGGAGAAGGCAGGGGGAACAGGATCCTGAGCACAGATGCAGAGAGGACCCCTCCAAGGGAGTAGGGGGAGGATGGAGCCAAGGCCGGCAGAGCCTGGACTGCAGCTTCGCTGAGGAGATGGCGAAGTCGTTCCATAGGCCCTGGCTTCTCTTTTCTTTGAGAAGCAGGTGGAAGGTCCTTCTTCTGAGAGGAAAACCGGGGAGGAGTCTACAGGGCCTCGCCATTTGTCCCCAGGGCATGCTGTCACTTCAGCCCCTGCTTTCCCATGTCACCCCCTGGTAGGCCAGGGCTGGGTGAAGCCCCCCGGAATGGAGTGCCCTCGGGCGCTGGTCTCCATGGGACACCCCCGTGTGTTTCAGGAAGAGTTGTGGGGCCACAGGCTTGTCTGAGTGACGCAGAGCAGAGCTGATGGAGGTGGCTGTTTAATTTTGGCGTCTGTGTCACCAGTGACCACACGGCAGGTCGGCCCAGGGAGAGGATGGGCCGAGGGTGACTGTGAATGATGCTTTTGAGAGACTCACTTTCCACATGAGAAGGCCGTGTGGAGGGGAAGGAAGAGAGCGCAACAGAAAGTGAGGCTGTAAGTAGAAAACTGCTTCTAGGATCTCACCGGCTTCGTCATGGGGCCCTCCCTGGTTGCCGGGAAATCAGTTGATCTGGGAAAGTTTGTTGCAAACCCTTTGCTCGGCTGCTTTTGGGTGGAGCCGAGAAATGAACGAAGATAATGAGACTGTATGACTTTTCTTTTTCAGAGTAAGAGTGGGCTGCGTGTGTGGGTGGGTGATCTGGATACAGCCACCAGTTCTGACACCCGCTCGGCCCTCGAGGAAGGCTGGCTGGCTGGCCAGAGAGCCCCAGGCCGGGGCAGCCCCCGACACAGCCAGCCTGGGCTCGGCGGGGCCTCTCAGACCGAGTCAGCTGAAGGGAGGAACGGTTTTTTACTTTGCTCAGACTGACCAGCTGGATTACGATCGTAAGCAAAAGACACTTCCCTGTTTCATCATAATGAAAAAGTGATAAGCTGATAGACTTGATAAAGCCCAGCCTCCAAGCTGCTGGGTCACACGGAAACGGGACGCGGGTCCACCCCTCCCAGGTCTTGAGCGGTCAGAGGGCCGCCCCTGGAGAGCCCCTGACATCTCATCCGAGCCGCAGACAGAGGTGCCTGGTGCCAACACCACTGGAAACTCACACGTATCTCGCTTCTCACTTGCGTCCCAGCTCCTCTTCCCGTGAAACCTCCTAGGCTTGGGGTTCCTGGGGTCCGGGGGCTCCCCTTCCTGGGCCCCATGATCAGCATCTCCCTCCCACTCACTAAGCACTCTGTCTTCCCTGTCCCTTCCCTGTCCCCTTTCTCTCTGGGCCTTGCCCTTGCCTCACGCAGGAAAGAAGCAAGAGGATGTGAGCAGAGAAAACTCAGCAACTGCCCCAGGGCCCTGGCCCAGGTGCTGGTGCCCCAGCCACAGTGGCTGACACAGACCTTCTTATTCTTTCTTCTTTTCTTCTCTCTCTCTCATTTCTGATTGAGCCCCACTCCCTGTCGTCCCCAGAGGTGGCTTGGCCGTGTGGCTCTGTGAGGCATCTGTCATCCCTGGAGGCCCCAGAGCCGGCTCTGACTCTGACTCACAGCACACCGCTGCTGACCACAGGCCCCTGTGAGGAGAGGCCTCAGAGGTGTGGGCAGGGAGCTGTGGGTGGCTGAGGAAGTGGCACGCTATGGACCCCTAGTGGTGGGGCCTGGTGGCCCTACCGACTACACCCAGCGTGGAACCAACGCTCTGACGGCAGGGCTTGGAATAGAGCTTTGGAAAACCCTAAGGGACCCTCCCTGACACCAGCCTCAGTTCCAATCTTTGTTCTTGGGAGAGTCACACAGAATCTCACCAGAAGACCTTCCATCTTCCTGATGGACAGACAGGCCAGTGCCTCGGTTAGACAGAGAGGACGTGTGTCAAAGTGGTGCTCTCAACAGACAGATGGCTAAGTTTTATATTTAAACAATTAATCTTCCACCCTGGCCGGTTTGGCTCAGTGGTTAGAGCATTGGCCCACGGACCGAAGGGTCTCAGGTTTGATTCCCTATCAAGGGCACATACCTGGGTTGCAGGTTTGATCCCTGGCCCCGGAGGGAGTTGTGCAAGCGGCAACCAATCAGTGTGTCTCTGTCATGTCGATGTTTCTCTCTCTCTCTCTGTCTCTTCCTTCCACTTTATCTAGAAAGCAATGGAAAAATATCCTCGGGTAAGGAAAAGAAAAAAAATTAAAAATTAACCTTCCGTAAATATCCTTCTAACCTTAAAATTCTTGAATCTCTGGATGGGGCGGGATAGCGGGATCTCCCATCCTCTCAGGGTAAAGCACCCTCCTCAGACCCTCCACTGTCTAAAGGCACCTTGCTGGCGCTCAGCCTTCAGTGCATGTGGTCACCACCCACCCAGAAGGCGGGTGCAGTGCAGGCCACAGGCAGTTCTTAGCAAATGCAGTGGACTGAAGAGATTCTGGGACCCCTCGGGACCACAGAGACCAGCCCAGTCCCTGCTCTGGACCCATGGGACACTCAGTTCCCATGTCTCCTCCCCAGGTCTTCCCTCTCTGGGCCAAGCATCCCTAGCTTCCTGCCCCATCAGTTATGACTTCTTCCTTCACCTCTGCCTGGGAACAAGTGAGGGTCCGTCCCACTGCAGTCTGTGGTGGTCATCCTCCCCCTGGACAAGTCCTGCCATGACCTCTGCTGCAGGCAGGAGCTCTCGCTGCTCCTGGGTGGCTGCCGGCACTGACTTCTGAACATCACTGTACACGTTCACACAGGGCTCTGGGCTCCCCAGGGAAGGCACCTGGCTTCCACTCAGAGTATAAGACTGGTCTCCGATGATCTACCACCTACTGCGAAGGCATCCTGTCCTTCTGGGGCAGCCCTCTGCTCTGGGCACCTCCCAAAGGTTCGCAGTGGAAACCACTGAAGATGGACATGCCCAGCCGCCAGCCACGTCTTGCTGAAGCCTGCTGCTGCTTGGCCTAGGCCAAGGGAGGGGCAGAAAGACCTGCTTGGAGGAGCCATCTGACCAGGACCCCATGTCCCTGGCTCTCCACTTCAGCGGCTCCACAGTCCAGGGGCCACAAGTCAACTGGTATGCCTTCCTTCACAGAGGTGGTGAGTGTGTACTCTCTGATGCTAAGTGTTTAGACATTGAATGGGCTGTCCCCCGAAAGTAGGTAGTGAGCTTCCCATCAGGGGAGGTGCCCAAACAGGTTGATGGAAATAGTATCAAGGTCATGCTTTCAGGCCAGATGACACTTGGACAGAGGGAGGCAGTGTTGAAAGTGGAGTTGGAGTGAGTTTTGGGTTCATATCCTGGCTTCACTCTTCATGTGACCTTGAGCAAGCCACCTTCTCTTCTCTGAGCCTCAGACAGGTTGTGAGGAAGACACAGGGGAGTGTGCGGGTAGTACCAGGCACAGGCTAGCCGCTCATCAAGAGCTGTGATCATAAGGTGACTTCTGAGGTCTCTGTCTGCTCCAGACGCCCTCCCTGAACCCTGACATCCTGGCCCAGCTTTCCCCGCTCCCTGCAGGTGGCGGGTGGGGACTTCCTGCAGGCCAGGGCCTCCCCCCAGGGGCTTGCCCACTTTCTTTCAGCCTCTTGTCTTGCCCCTTGCTCCCCCTTTGCTCCATCCTAGGCCCCTCCTCCAACTGGCCTCCAGAAGAGCTCCACAGTCTTAGGAGCAAAGGCCCCCATTCCCAAAGCAAAATAAAAGGCAAACACCATGAGGTCTCTTGTCACCATCTTTATTCTGGCTTCCAGTTTGACAAAGGCAGTGAAAAGACGTATTCGGCGCCCTCTCCCCAAGTCCACATGTACCACACACAGTGTTCTAGGTTACTCTTGTATATATTATTAACTCTGATAACATATTTTAATATTTAACTTTAAATACAAGGAAAAACAATAAATTACTCCTTGGCTGGGGGCTGACTGCTGCTGGCAGACAAGCCCCAGCCCCAGGCCCCAGTGAGGTAGCAGGATTTTGCACACAGTACTTATTTCCAGGGCTCCGAACTGCCGCTGCTTTAGTGCTGGAGCCAAGTTTCCGTGCCCTTGGCTCCAAGTTCTGGCAGCGACAGTCCCTCCCTATCCCCGGCACAGACAAACACAGTTGTTTAAATAACACACAGTAATAAATAAGGCCAAGAAGAATATACCTGAGCTGCTCTCTGCCTCATTTGCCCCTCTGTGAAGCAGGTCCCTCTCCCACATTTTGGCAAGGACGGCACCCACTGTAATGCTACAGTTTGCCCTAAGGCAGGGAGGGCATGTGGTGCCATAGTTTTACCTTCCTCCACTGAGCTTGGAGCCCCAGCCGAGGAGGCCCCCATATGGAGCCCCGAGCCCGGGTACGAAGGCAAGGGGCCGCTGGGTCGGGGCGCTCAAGGCAGGCAGCTCAGGCTGAGGTCTAGGCTAAGGAAATGTTACCCCCCACCCTCACCCTCTGCCCCATCTCCCCAAGAAATTCTGACAATGAAGCTGCAGCTGCCACGTGCCGCCTCTGCTGGCAAGGTGCCGGCGGTTCGCGGTGAATGCCTTCAGTCGAACTTTCCGTAGCGAGCAGTTTTTCTTAACTGTTGGAGCAGGCCTTTGGCCAGCTGGATCACTTCAACTTTGGTGTCTCGGACGAGCTGCTTGGAAGGCTGCTGCGGTGACAAAGAGGCCACTGCGTTAGTGGGGCGCTGCCAGAGCAAGGATGGCCAGCATCCACCAGCAGCTCTGGGGTCAGGCAGGTTGAATCCTCAGAGAAGACCCCACGAGGTGGGTACTGTCCTTACTCCCAAAGGCCATATCTCTGCCGCCAACAGTGACGCCACCCCGCACTACCCACCCCCCATCTCCCACGTCGATGCATGCTCAGCTGCTCAGCCAGGTTCCCCTGAGGCTTCTGGGGCGAGCCCAGGGCTGGCAGGAGGGGCGCAGGGTAGGGTATGGGGCAGGGGCCTTACCCTGGCTGAGGGCTTCTCAGGGCAGAATGCATTCAGCAGCCTCTGGGTTCTATAGATGGCGCGGCAATCAGAGATGTTCATCAGTGATTCCAGGACTGCACAGTACTGCAGGGAAGAGAATGCTGGTGTCAGGCCCTATGGGTGCCCCCAGCCTCAGGGCTTGGGCGACACCTTCAGTGAGTTTGCAGGGGGAGGGGTACTGAGCGGTCTGGTGGAGGTGGGGCCTGGGTGGTGGGGAGGGAGAGAGTAGCTCCTTAAGTGTGCTTAGAACCCCCAGCCCTGTGGGCGAGGCTCAGAGAAGACAAGCCCAAGGCCTTGGGGTTCCAGTGTCCAAGGGGTCCTTACCGGGTTCCTTACCGAGCCATCTGTCAGGTTGACATTCCACACCATGCTGCCATTGCAGAGGTGGACCTGAGGGAACAAAAGACAATTAGCCGAGAGCTGGCGGGGGTCCCAGGTTTCTGCAGGGATCAGGCTCCACAAGCACCCCCAGTGTTGCCCTGAGGCAGACCTGGCCCCCTCAATGTTCCTGAACCTCATTTTCTTCTCTGCACAGTCAGGAAGACCCATTCTCCAGGGGTCTTTGAGCTGAGAGAAAAACTGAATGACGCAAACACTAAGGGACAAGCCTTGTATGAGTCTTGCCATAGCCAGGGTAAGAAGGCAGGGACACCAAGTCGGTCAGTGGAGGCCTGTAGGGAAGGACCAGGGCAGAGGCAGGTGAGGGGCAGTGTGGCCAGGCCAAGCAGATGGGAATCCTGCCTTCTGATCTGGGGGACACCACAGTTCAGAGCATGCACACTCTGGGGTTGCCCAGGCCTGGTTTCAATCTGGCTTTTGTGAATTAACTTCACTGAGGCTCAATCAATAAAACTGGGTCATCATTATCTGCCTCTTGAGGCGGTTGACAGTGATGAAATGAGAGGCAAGCACCCAGTACCAGGCCTGGTACGTCATCAGTGCTCAGAACGTGTGCGCTGCCACCACTGGGGAGAGGAGCTGGGAACCTTTCCAGAGGAATGGGCTTCACTAGGATGCTATGAATAGTGGCTCCTTCACTGCATTCAAATTCCACTGGCAAATGCCAAATGGTTCTAAGTGGGCACTGGCCCTTCTCTGCTTTTCCCTGTTCAGGAACGGCTGAGCAGGGGCATGCCAGGGCGGGCAGGGCCAGGCCAGAGGAACAGGTGGTCCCTGGGGCTCTGCCAGGTCCCTTCACAGGTCCATTCATATTGCTGCATCTCCAGCCTAACTCCTCTCTCTTCCTCGTGACCTGGCCCCTGGTCCATGGGCTTCTTCCCGACCGCCAGGCATCTTAGCACCAGGCCCAGCCTTCATGACCGATGCACTTCCCAAGAGTCAACCACCCAGCACCCTCAGAGCTGGGACCCTGGCCAGAGGGTACTCACCTTCTGGGTGACGTTGTCCAGCTCCTGAATGAGCTCCTTGAGGACCGTGAAGGAGGGCACAGGGCCTGGGGAGGCGAAACTGCCAAAGCAGGTGAGAACAACGACCAAAGTCAACCAGAGCGCCATGGAGCCCAGAGCCAATGCAGGAGGAGCCCGAAGCAGACACGTAGACTGGCCTGGGCTGAGTGGCTTGTGGCCTTGGTCTCTTGTGGCAGCTTTTATAGGCCCAAGTGGTGACGCTTCACACCCTGGTCTCCGCTTTGTCGGGCACTATCTAGAAACCACATCTTTACTCATCTTGATTTTACTTTGTGGAAAATCCAGCGTCACATAAAGGAAAGCGTTTGATTTCTTGTGGACTTAATATTGAGAGGGGCCGGGGGCAGTCTCCAAGATCTGGATGGCCTTACTCCAGAGGCAGGTGAGAGGGCCCACGGGGCCTGGCGTCAGCCATGCAGCTGGAGCTCCGACGGTCCTGTTCGGTGGCCACTGGCCAGCCCAGCTCCTGTCCTCAGACCCTTCGGGTCACCATATGTGCTGGGTAAACAGTGCTATGACCCCGGTCCACCAGGTTTGGGCAATTGAGGGTTTTATTTTTTCAAGGACCAGTCTCTTGCATTACCAAAGGAATACTTGCTTTGGATTCAAAGTACAAACAGGAAAAAGGAACAGAGCGAAGTTCACTCCTTTTGGCCCACCTGGTACCCACAGGCCCCACTGTGGGAAGGGTTATAAAAGTTCAAATTTCCAGGTCTTCACTAAAAGATCCAGTCAGATTCAGGGATCCTCCTGGATCCTTTCCTTTTTAAGGTTGCTTTGATGATCACTGGGAGCACAGGCCACCTGGCACTGGGAGCCCTACCCAGGCCTTCAGTGTGAGCCCATCCTGCTGGGAAACCCTTAATGGGCCAGGTCAGAGAGTGTGGCTGTTCCCAGTGCCACGGAGACCCGGGGCGGTCACCTTTGTCCACCAGTCTCTGTGGAAAATCAAACCCATGCCCTCTGGGGGGCCTCAAGTTTCCCTTCTGAAGAATGAAGCCCCCTCCTGGGTCCCCTGGGGCAACCCACCCCATGCAGGGACCCTGGCACGTAGCCATTTCCTGCTCTTCCCTCATTTCTCCAGAAGTCCTCCAGAAACCCCTAGACAGAGGTGGCAGCATTTGCCTGTCGGGTGCTGATGTCAAACTCTCTCCCTTACCCACTTCCTCCCTCCCCTAAGCCATTGCCTCCCCCCCAGGCCCCTCTCTGCCAGCTGGCTCAGGCCTCCTCCGCCTCCATCCCCCTCACCACCCCCAGCACACTCACTGGGCCCAGCCTCCTCAGGCGCCTTCCAGGGGTGCCAGAACTGTCCCTCCGACTCCGAAGTCTCCCAGCCTTTCCCCTCTCCTTCCACTGGTAACATTATTCCACCGACTCTTCTGTCCAAACCCTAAGCCTTCCATCCAATTGCAGGCCTTGGCTGCGGGAGCGAGCCCCTGGCCCCTGTGCACACCCCCACCTCCCAGCGCCTGGACTGCTGCTTCCTAACTGTGTGACCCCCTGTGGGCTTCAGTTTCTTCCTTGGTACAATAGGCCAAGGGCATCTTTGCCTGGGGTCTCTGAGGGCAGGAGGTGCGGGGAACCACCGAGGGCTGCGCAAGTCCCGGAGCCCTGCACCAGGATGAGTCAGCTCCCCAGGACCAGCAAACCCCGGCGGGCGCGGTGCGCAGGGCCCCGCCGCAAGTGGGAGAAGGTTCGCTAGCCCCGCGGCGGGCGATGCCCCAGGAGATAGCGGCGGCCTTATGTAATGGGAGATGGGCGGATAAGCAGGCTCCCGGCAGCCCGGCCCTCCTCCGAGGCCTCCGGCTGGGGCCTGTGCGGGTGCCGAGGGAGGAGCGAGGGCGCAGATGGGCGTCGGGGCTAAGCTACAGGGCACTGGCCCCGCGCTGGCCCACACGGACTGAATGCCGGGCGGGGCGGGGGGCGCGCTGGGCTTCACCCGCCTGCTGCGCAGAGCTGTGCCCCTGGCGAGGGCCGTGCGCTGTCCGGGCACCTGGCCAGGGGTCCTCTGGAGCTGAGATCCCTGAGGGGTGGGGGTGGGGGTGGGAGACCCGGCCGAGCGGCCCACCCCTCCTCCTGTCCTGCCACCAAGGGCACGGGCCGCGACAAGCCCCGCTGGCCATAGCAACTGACTGGTCTCTGTTGCTGTTTCTTGATTTTCTGCGGGCTCCATTCACACCCCGACAATTGTAATCTACACAGACTACATAAGGTCTGTTCCCAGCACTTGACACCCATGGTTGAAACTCCCCTACAGCCCGTGGCTGGGCCACTGGGTCCGGGTGTGACAGGCGCAGCCCCAGAGCTCAGGGCCCCCATCCCACACCCAGTCCAGCCCACTCTGAGCAAGGTTTCAGAAAACTTCCTTTTCCAATGTTTTGAATTTGGGGGCTTGGTTGGAAAGAAAAAATGCCTAGTCAGTAGGAGCATGAGTTAGACAAGTTGTTTGAATAATTTAAAATATCTAACTTACTACATTTGTATTTATATGGAAGTTATGAATGCGTGCAAATTTTTTTAATTAAATAATTCAAGGAGGTTGATGATGAGTAACAGCTGTTTTGAAAATCAGTTCTCCGTTGTTCTCTTGCATTTCTGCATGTGTTGTGAGTCAGACACTGGCTGCTCTACTTGGTTCCCTACAATCCTTTTTTTTTTTTTTTATCCTCACCCGAGGACATTTTTCCATTTTTTGTTCAAATAGATCAGGAGGGAGAGAGAGAAACATCGACTTGAAAGGGACACATCGAGTGGCTGCCACCCGCACAACCCAACCAGGGCCGGGGACAAACTGCAACCGACGTACATGCCCTTAGTGGGAACCGAACCTGGGTCTCTCTGGACTGCAGGCCGATGCTCTAACCGCTGAGCCAAACTGGCCAGGGCAGTTCCCTACTATCTTTTTAAAGAATCTGTATAGCAGATGGCCCTGGAAGAGACAGCATCTTCCTCTGAAGCGAAAGGCAGGCAGACTTACCACTACTAAACATTCAGGGTCTCGGGGCTCAGGCTTCCCCCCTGTAAGGCAACCCATTGAGGGCACAGGTTCCTCGGCTCTCTGGGCACTACTCTGTGAGAAATGGCGTTCAGGGAACAAAATTTTAAAATGCTTATACTCTAATACCACTGCTGTGCATAATAAACTGTTCTTTGTCTCTGATCCCAGAGTTCTGTGCCTTCCGCCAGCATCCATGAAACTGTGGCAAACAGTAGGGTAAAATCTCAGAACATTCGGTTGTTGACAAGCAGCAGCCTCCCAACCCCTCTTCTCTAGAAAAAACACCATTTTAACTGTTTCTCTTGGTATTGATCCCCTCCATGTTTCCAAATTTCTTGATTTTCAGGTGTAGCCATTCTCTGTGGTCTAGCTGAGCATGTACTTCTCTCTCCGCCTGCCAGTCTTCTTCCACTTGCACCTTCCTTGTTCCCACCAGCTTACATAGATCATCATTTTGGTCAACCGAAAGCCTCGCTTACCACTTGCTTAATTATACTAATATAGTTACAGCTGAAAGATGGTTAATTATGGTCATTTTTACTTTCCCTCAAAACTCTTTCCCTCTGGAATTAAAAATTGTCTTGCACCTGAAACCTGTAATATTTTGTTGTCCAGTGTCACCCCAATAAATTCAATAAAAACAAAACAAAACAGCCCTGGTCGGTTTGGCTCAGTGGTTGGAGCGTCGGCCTGCAGACCAGAGAGACCCGGTTTCGGTTCCCACGTACAAAAAACAAACAAACAAACAAAAAACAACCACAAAAAATATTCCATAGAAAAACTAAAAAAAAAATTTGTCTTGTTTTTCCATTACTTAGTTTTCTATATTCATCTCAGTGGCTTAACCTTAAATTCTTGGCCACCTGTATAAATCTCCTCTCAAGAAATTTGAGATAATCAATTATTCTCACAATTTCACCTTCTTGAGAAGGTCTTCCTTAGAGACTGCTGACCCGCTATGACATGGACAGCTGCCCTCTGACCCTTCTACACAGCTGTCGCCCTGAGGTCTCCTGTCACCCTGTCCTGGAATTCCCTCTGCCTCTCTCTTATGTGACTCTCCTATTCTCAGGTCTTCCTCTTATTTGGGAGGATACATTCTACTAACCGCAGAATTTCAGGCAGGAAATAATTTCCTTTTAGAATCTTGAAAGGCTGTGCTGTTGCCCACTATGTTCTGACATTGCTGTTCAGAAGTCCAAAAGCGTTTTTGAATCCAGACCTTTTCTAATTCTCTCTCTCAGGAAATATGTAGGAAATTTTCCTCGTCCCCATGTTCCAAATTTTGCCATGTTGTGCCTAGATATGGTTCCATTTTCATCTACTATGACAGACACACTGTGGGCCTTTTCAAATTGAAAACATGTTACTCACTTCTTGGAAATTATCTTTCTTTAAAAAAAAGTTTGTTATCATTTATTAGATTTAGTGAAGGCATTGCTTTAAAAAAAAAAAAAGTTTTATGCCCTGGCCAGTTTGGTGCAGTGGTTAGAGCATCGGCCTGTGGTCAAGAGAGACCCGGGTTCGGTTCCCGCTAAGGGCACATACCTCGGTTGCAGTTTGTCCCCGGCCCTGGTTGGGTTGTGCGGGAGGCAGCCACTTGATGTGTCCCTTTCACATCGATGTTTCTCTCTCTCTCTCTCCCTCCCACTTTATCTGAACAAAAAATGAAAAAAAAAAAAATGTCCTCGGGTGAGGATAAAAAAGTAAAATAAGTTTTATTTTTTAGAGCAGTTTTAGCTTCACAGTTAAATTGAGGAACAGTTACAGAGTCTCTCCTTCCCCACACAGGCACAGCGCTCCCGTTACCAACATTCCCCATCAGAGTGGTTCATTTGTTACAACCGATGGACCTATACTGCCATATCATCATCATCCAGAATCCATAGTTTTCATTGGTGGTGTACATCCTATGGGTTCGGACAAATATATAATACATGTATCCACAGCGTATTTCACTGTCCTAAAAATCCTTTGTGTTCCACATCTTCATCCCTTCCTCCCTCCTAACCCCAAACCACTGATCCTTTTACTGTTTCCATAATTTTGCCTTTTCCAGAATGTCATATAGTTGGAATCATATACTATT